GGGAGAGGTGTTGGGGGCTGGGTCAAAAAGGTGCAAGGATTTAGAAGTACAAATTGGGAGTTACAGAATAGTTATGGGGATGTAAAGTATAGCATAGGGAATATATTTAATAATATTGTAATAACTATGTATGGTATCAGATGGGTACTAGATTTATTGGGGTGATTACTCGTAAGTGATAGAAAGGTCTAATCACTGAGTGATTGTGTGCCAAAATTAATATAATATTGTATATCAACTGTAATTGAAAAATAAAAAATTATTTCATAAATGGAGGTACAGACTCCAGTTATAAAATTAGTAAGTCATGGGCTATAAGGTACAGCACAGGAAATATAGTCAATAATATTGTAATAACTGTACAGTGACAGATGATTACCAGACATACGTGGTAATCACATCGTAAGGTCTGTAAATGTAGAATCACTATGTTGTACTCTTGAAACTAGTGTAATATATGTCCACCATGATTTAAAAAATAAAATAAGGCACACAAAGAAAAGTTTTTAGCAGTGCGGCATTTGCCCCCTGCACTGTGCTTGCTTTGATCATGGGAGGCATCCACGCAGAGCTTGTCAACTGTTACATCTTCCAGAGCCTATATTGTGAATAATTTTAGCCATCTATGTCTGATTAGAATATGCCTAGTAATAAATCTTAAAACTAAGACTAAAATACATGATACAGAATAAACCAGCCTCTGTTATTCAGTTTAAGTTTTATAGATATTTCTCTTCCAGTTTTTTAAATTAATTTATTTGTATTGATTTCAGAGAGGAGGTGAGAGGGAGAGAGAGATAGAAACATCAATGATGAGAGAGAATCATTGATTGGCTGCCTCCTGCATACCCCTTACTGGGGATCAAGCCTGCAACCAGGGCATGTGCCCTCACTAGGAATTGAATGATGACCTTCTGGTTCATAGCTTGACACTCAACCACTGAGCCATAAACGGTTGGGCATGGGCCAGTTGTTTTATTTATTTAAATTTATTTATTTATTTAAAATATATTTTTATTGATTTCAGAGAGGAAGAGAGAGGGGGAGAGAGAGAGAGATAGAAACATCAATGATAAGAGAGAATCATTCATCGGCTGTCTCCTGCATGCCCACTAATGGGGATTGAGCCTGCAATCTGGAAATGTGCCTTGACTGGAATCGAACCCAGGACCCTTCAGTCTGCAGGCCGATGCTCTATCCACTGAGCAAAATCGGCTAGGGGTGGGCAGTTATTTTAGAGCAGTGGTTCTCAACCGTGGCTGCATATTAGAATCACCTGGGAATCTCTTTAAAATCCTGATTACTGGGCCTCATCCCCCGGAAATTCTGTTTCTTTGTTACTAATGTTGTGGCCCCACCCCATAACAAAGAAACAGAATTTCCGGAGGATGAGTCCCAGAAATCAGGATTTTAAAAAGATTCCTAGGTGATTCTAATGTGCAGCCAAGGTTGAGAACCACTGCACTAGAGGGATGTTGTGTCCTCAATCTGTTGTATCTAGGTCTGCATGGTAAACAGCTCGGTGATGGAGTTAATTTTGTTCATTTAGCCAACGTGTCATCTGGTTTCTCCAGTGCACGGTTCCTATTTTTCCTCTTGCAAGAATAAGCCTTCTGAGGGGAAGAGACTTAGAGCATGTATCTATCCGGCTCCTCATTCCACTTTTTCCTGTTGACTTAGATGTATCTCAGAAGTTTTTTTGTGGGTATATTTTTTTGCAAGACCCATGCTTTATGAACACATTCTCACACATCTGAATTTTTTTAAAAAAATGCTTTTATTGATTACTTAAAGAGAGAGGAAAGGAGAGGGAGAGAAAGAGAAACATTGACCGGCTGCCTCCCGCACACATTCTGACCGGGGATCGAACTGGCGACCTTTCAGTGCATGGGACGGTGCTCAACCAACTGAGCCACCCAGGCCAGGGCTCTGAATTTGATACACAAAGATTATTAGTTCATTTTACAGTTTCTGAAATCAACTCTTCAAAAGGTAAATTCTGACACCATAGTTGACGTAGCAAAGGAATATATCAAAACAAAGAAAAACTTCACCCAAAATACTGGCATTTAAAAGACACATTTGTAAAATATGCTACTTATTAAGTATACTTGAACAAAGTATATGTGGAATGAATTCCATTCATTATGGAGTTAGTTTCTACTAAACACTTATTGATACTAGAGAAAACCCCTGGCATCTGAGCACTTGTTTTCAAGTGTTCCCAGTCTATGCTAAAAAAATGAAACATAACAAATAATTTCTGAGGCACTAATTTGAACCTCAGAAGTGGAAGGGCTAGTATGTAGGGCAAATTACCGAGGAGTCAGAAAGGCTGGCGCCTGCAACTTTTAGTGTGGCTTTTCCATTGCCTGAGTATCATCAGGGATGCAATAAAAGTCTCAAGAGGTCATTTAAATTTTATAATTATACTTCTCAGAAATATTTCAAAGCTACATTACCCAAGACTCATTTCCATAAACCCTTGGTAAACAGGAAAACTTCAATGATTTTACTGACGCTCTCTGTCCCTTTGCTTATATCGCCATTGAAACCTGTCTCATTCATACTGCAATCCAAACCTATCTCAAAATGCAGTCTGCTTCCCTAACCTGAGCTAGATCTAATGCCTTCCTCTTCCTCTGGGAGCACTTTGTACTTCTCCTGTTTGCCTTTAAAATGTGAGCCCGATCTTGTCCTTGCCTTGTTCAAAACCTTCTGGTAACGCCTCCCCACAGAGAGTAAGATCCAGAAGTCCTCACCGCTCCTCTTCAGCCAACTCCCACGAAGCCCGTTGCTCCTTCCACCGTAGCCATACCCACTGATCACGTTCCCACACCAGGCACTTGCTGTTCTCTCCGCCTGACTTGTTCACTCCCTTAATTGTTCATTTTTGGCTCTTCACTCAGACGTCACCTGATCAGAGAGGTCTTCCCTCACCTGTTTTGTTTTTCCTCAGATCACTTTTTACTTTCTGGCTTTATAATATGTATTTTTTCAGTTTGTTTCTTACTTGTTTCCATTCCATTAGAATCTCAGCTCCATGAAGGCAGGCACTTGTGTCTTTTTTGTTCACTTTCAGATCCTTTGGCACCTTGAAAAGTATGTGGCCCATTGCAAGCCCCCAATACATTTTGATTGGATGAATCGTTATTGTGAGAGAGGCCGTAGGCAAGCTGCTGGCATTGCTGATATAGATAACGTTTAGACAGATCTTGTTTTCAAGTGCTGGGGCGAATAGTGACCAGACAGATTAAGTCATGCCAGGGGCGCAGGAGGGGATAGTATACTGGTCACAGAGCAGCATGGGAGGGCTCAGACAGTGGCTCACCCTACTTGGCACTTGCGTGTGTTCCAGAGGATGTGTGCTGTGTTCAAGGACCATAGCTGATAGTGTAGGAGTTGGCTGGTCCCCTGGAGGCTGAGCTGGGAAGTTCCAGTGCTGTCCGTTATAAGATATGTTTTCTTCTCTTCCAGGCCTTGGGGTTTTTGCTGTGGATTGTCTGCTGGGCAGACCTCTTCTACTCTTTCTGGGAAAGAAATTGGGGCAACTTCCCAGCCCCAGTGTTTCTGGTCAGCCCAACCCTCTTGGGCATCACCATGGTAAGTAGGAGGTGGCTGCCCGCCAGGCAGTATGGAGATCAAAAGCAGTGACCAGCTTTTAAAAATGAGAAGATCTCACAGTAAAAAATCCACAAATCTGGCTTCTCTCAAAAACTCAAAGGTCCGGCAGCACTAGACTAGCAGTCTTCTGGGGCAGCAGTCGGCTGGAGCTGAGGGGTGACTGCAGCCTTTCACTGGGCCAAGCGTGGTCCGGTTGTCACAGTCCCCACTGCCTGTGCCCTCCCTGCGCCCGAGGCTGAGTGCAGGTGCCGTCCTGCGCTGCACCTGCTGTCCTTTCTTCTTGCACTGGCCAGCGCATCACTTAACAGTGGGTGCCTGGGCCTAAGGGTCTCCTGAGCTTTCAGGCTCTGCACAAGGAGTGGATGCCAAGCTGACCGAGAGACCACCCTGCCCCATGTGGTCCCTCATTTAGTGGGAGATGCAAACAGGAACTGCTTTATCACTGCTTTATTCTATCTAATTCTCAGAACAACCCTGTGAGACAGGCCCTGCTTTGTCTCTGTTTTAAGGTGAGGAGGTTAGGGCCCAGAGAGGTTATGTGCCCTGCTGAAGGTCACACAGCTAATACATGGTCTAGCAAGGGGTGGTCACTCAGAGGTCACGCTTTTAGTCCTTGCATTCCACAATGACATCCTCTGAGTGAAGGCCATTCCTACAGGGTGCCATGTCCCTTGGGTCCTCTGAGGAGCTGGAATGTCCTCGACAAGCATGGCCCTGAGTGTTGTAGAGGGAGGAGAGAGCAAGTTTGGGGCAGGATGTTTTGAGCAGAGAGAACAGTATGTCCAAGGGAGGGTCGGGGCCAAAAGGGAGCATAAGGAGGAGGACGATGAGCCTTTCTTGCAGCAAGAAGGCCAAGTGGGGGTTCTGGGGGTAGACCAGGGGTGGGGAATGTCTGGTCTGGGGCCACATAAAACCCATGAAATCATTCGGTCTGGCCCTGCCAAGGCAACTGCAGGCGGGACTCAGAATTCAATGAATCTAGGAGCTGTTTTCATAGCAACATGCATTTATATTAAGCGGATAATATTAAGCAAATGATGTTATAAATATCCACATGGCTCTTGGCAGAAAAAAACGTTCCCCACCCCTGGGGTAGACAGTGAATGCAACAGAAGGGGGTCAAGGGAGGCAAGTTGGAGCCAAGTTGTGAAGGACCAGGAATCTTTCTAGCACAGCTTAACAGTGTGTGCTCTGTACCAGGCACTACCCTAGTCCCTTTGCATAATAATTCATTTAAGTATGTAGGCTCATTAATCCCATTTTGTAGATAAGCAAGTTGAGACACAGATAAGAGATAGAACTGGCCCAAGGTCACAGCCAGTAAGCGCAGAGCCGGCTTCACACGCAGGCTCTCTGGTCCCGTGTGTTGGTGGGGCTCTTTGCTAATACCTGGCACCTGTGCAGGGCTTTGCTATCCTTTGTGCCCCCAGAGCCTCGCACTGTGCCTGACATGCAGTAAGCACTCCACAAACGTATTGAGGGAATGGGGAAACGAAGGACTTGGTTTTGCTGGCCTGGAGGTCTTGACCTCTACATTTTGGCAAAAGAGAGTCAAGGTGGACTAGTTTGGGCTGTGATGACTCATATTCCCTTAACTTTCCCTGCTCCTGGTCTTCTGATTCTTCATTCAGACCTTTGTCTGTGATACCGGGCACACAGGTATGACGGGGTGAAGGTCACCAGGCTTTGTACCCCCCAGGGCTCTGAGCTGGGCTGGCCAAGATGTGAACTGGCCTGTGAAATGCTCAGTCTCTCTCCTCAGGGCTCCAGGAGGGGAGGACCAGCCCTGCTCTCCCTGTTGCAGGAACATTCTCCTGACATGCCGGGGACCGGAATATACAGGCACTCGGAGTATGGGATGCGAGGCAGTCAGCAAATACTTTTCATTCCTAATATGGGCCAGGAGTTGAAGATAAAACCGACACAGTTCCTATTGTCATGGAATGTACAGTCCAGCTGAGCAAACGGACATTCAACAAATGATTCCCCAAAAAGGCACAAAATATTTACCTGTGTGCAGATTGCTCTGAGAGTGAAGTTAGGTGAACTGGTTTGGTTTGGAGGGTAGGAAGGAAGGGATGACGGAGCTGAGGCCTGAAGGATGAGCAGGATGTTAAAAAGTTGAAGGGGCCATGGGCAGATGAACACCATTGGCGAGAATAGCACACGCAGAAGTCCCGGGGTCAGAGGGAGAAATGGAGAGTTGGCCTGTGTGGCTGGGGTGGGGAGGTCGAGGAGGAGAGGAGGGGAGCTGGGATGGCAGAGGCCTGAGCCTGTGGGACCCTGAGCTTCAGGATAAGTGGGTTTTGTTTTTCACTCCCAACACTGGGTTCTAAACTTTTTGTGCCACGGACCCCTTTCTTCTTTGCCAATCTACTCTCCTTCTCAGAATAATGTTCTTAAAAACAGAGGATTACAAAGGAAACCAGTCACACCCATGTGTATATATGTGAAGCTTCTGTGCTGTGCATTTATATTTCTAGTTGGGGTTAATTGATAAACATACTGTCTTGTCACTGCCACTTCCACAGTATAGGCAGCAGCCCGTCACCCCAAATGCCCTCTCGTGCTGCTTCTCCGCAGTCAGCCACGGCCTCGCCCCTTTCCCAGGAACCACTCACATGGTATCTGTCCCCGGCGCTTTGCCTCTTGTGGAATGTCACGTGAGTGGAACCATGCAGGCTGGAGCAGCTTGAGACTGAAGTCATAGCAACAGCGGTTCAACCGTGCTGAGGGTAGCCAAAGGTGTTTTTTTTTTTTTTAATTGCTGAGTGTATTGGATTGGATGGTTTCACCGTCCTCTCTCCCCCACTCCGTTTTTTAAAAATATTTTTATTGATTTCAGAGAGGAAGGGAGAGGGAGAGAAAGAAACATTAATGATGAGAGAGAATCATCGATCGGCTGCCTCCTGCACACCCCGGACTGGGGATCGAGCCTGCAACCACGGTATGTGCCCTGACTGGGAATCGAACCGTGACCTCTAGGTTCATAGGTTGATGCTCAACCACTGAGCCACACCAGCCAGGCACCACCCATTTTTTATTTTTATTTTTATTTGGACTGGGAAACCAATTGTATTTAAATGCAGTTATCAAAAGATTTAAAACAATGTAAAAAAATATGTGTTTCTTTATTAACCCCTTCCCCAACAATTTTTTTGTTAAAAACGTTTCTTTTTCAGACTAATTTTTTTATTTTGGTTCTATATAGTATTTTTGATGCTGGTTATGAAAACAGTTTGTAATTATTTTTTCTTCCCATTTTTGTGGTTAAGAATAGTATTTCCTCAGAAAGTTTCTAGATGAAATTATTTAGAATGGTACGTATGTAGCTGGTTTTTGAAGGTAAAGTTTTAGACGAGTATACTCGTTGACGACTGAAAAAAGAACATTTTGTGAAAACGTGTATACACGTTTCTGCCGGGGAAGGGGTTAATGTATTTGACACCAAGATCTAGCAGCAGGGGTGATGCTCCTTTCCTTCCACATAGCAATAGTGGGGACCTCTTCAGCTGTATATTTTCAGATATGATGTCTGTTTGTGACAGGCCCAGGTACTGCTGTTGTGGTTCATTGCCTCCACTTATTACTGGTGATGCTGATATGGGAAGACAGAGCTGTAATGGTTCCCCATCCAAGTTCATGGACTCCCAGGTTCTATCCACAGCCTGTCCTTGGAACCCAGGTTAAATCTCAGGTCTGAAAGATAGAGGTTTTCAGCAAGGATGTGATATGCCTGGCCTTGCATATTTATTTATTATTAGTTTTTTAAAATATGTTCATATTGATTTCAGAGAGGAATGGAGAGGGAGGGAGACATCAATGATGAGAGAGAAGTATTGATCGGCTGCCTCCTGCATGGCCCACACTGGCGATCGAGCTCGCAACCAAGGCATGTGCCTTAACCAGAATCGAATCTTGACCCTTCCATCCGCAGGCCCACACTCTATCCACTGAGCCAAACTGACTAGGGCCTGGCTTTGCATATTTAAAAGCTGACTGTTGCCTCCAACTGGAGAATGGATTGTTGGGCAGGAAGCTGGGAGAGCAATGGGGATGGGAGCCCTGGGATCACCTGGCAAGAGGGGATGGAGGCCAGGATCAGAGTGAGTAGCCGGTAAACTGAGGACTGGCCTTAGTGGCAGGGCCAGTGTGTGTTTTGATGGATTAGATGTGGCGAGTGAAGGAGATGGGGGAACTGATTCCTTTTGGATGGTGTGGAAAGCATGGGTGGCCATGGGAACCAAGAGATGGGCACCAATGGGCCCAGCTTCTTCCCTAGGGATTTCATGAGGAGGACAGGCGGACAGACCGGTTTCTGCTTCCAGCAGCTGGGTTCTGAGGGGAGGTGCCTGGGTGACCTACAGCTCCTTAGGGTGGGTGACCGTGACTGGTCTTGGGGATCTGCCTCAAGGGGGTGACTCTGCCTTCTGAGAGAGAGCCGTGAGTTTCCTTTTTAAGGAAAAGCAGTTTTATTTAGTTTTTCCCCCCAATCATTAAGTCACATGTAAAATGGAAGCAGTAGCGCCCAGTATCAGGAATGAAGTAAAAATCCCAGTTCCCCATCACCATGGTTCTAATGAAAATCCTTGAACATGAGATGTGTGACTGTGGACGGATGAAGTAACCTCGTTTCCTCGAATGCAAACTGAGGCTCCGGCTCTCGGGAGGCCAGGGGGCAGCGAGTTAGTGCGCGTGAATGCTTCCTATGAGGCAAAGGTAGCAGGTGCTCCATAAAGAACAGTCATCCCTGTCACCTAAAGCAGGAGTCGAACACAGGTCTTTCCGGTTCTAAATCGGGTGGGCCCACTGCTTGCTTTTATTGGCATGCAGTCATGCCCATTCATTCATGTATCATCTAGGGCTGGTGTCGCACTGCAATAGCAATGTTGAGTAGTTCTGACAGAAACTTGGCTTTGTGAGCCCAAAATATTTACTATCTGGTCTCTTAAAAATAGGTGCCCTTTTCTGTTCTATAGTGAACTTCTGCCTCCTACTCCAGATCTAAACATGACCTCATTAAATTCCACAGCCATCGAGGCAGGTGCTGTTATCAACTCTGCTTTGCAGATGAGGCTGTGGAGGCTCAGAGAGGTTTGGTAACTTGCTCAGGGTCACCCAGCAGGGTCAGAGCAGAGCTGGTTCTGGAGCCAAGTCCTCCCCCAGGCTGTTGTTGTACCACTAGGCTAAGGCAGCCTCACTTGAGGCCTAGCGTCTGCCAGGCCCCTGGACTCTGGGGGACCTTTGGGGCCCTGGCCTTCTCCTGACAACTTCTGTTGTGTGCTTCTCTCCCCTAGCTGCTTGCTACCTTTTTAATTCAGCTCGAGAGAAGGAAGGGAATCCAGTCCTCAGGGATCATGCTCACATTCTGGCTTATAGCCCTACTATGTGCCCTTGTCATCTTGAGATCCAAAATCATGACCGCCTTAAAAGAGGTAAGTGTGGCCTCATTGCATCTTCCTGGGTGGCCCTTGGGAGAGATGCCTGTTCCTTTTGGATGGTGTGGAAAGCATGGGTGGCCATGGGAACCAGGAGATGGGCACCAGTGGGCCCAGCTTCTTCCCTAGGGATTTCAATACCTCCTCCAGCCTTTGTTCTAGAACCTTCTTTCCTCACGACCCGACTTGTCTGTGTAGCTCTGAGTAGCCCATGTGGGTCCTCCAGGGGCAGGAGCCTCGGCTGATGCACACCACCCTGTGAGCCTGTGTTAGCAGCAAACAGATGTCTTCAGTCTGGAAGGGAGCCAAGCAGGGAGCGGTGTTTACAGAGTGGCTGCACCCTCAGGGGGCCCCCGATTGTCCCCAGGTTACCTTAGTGTCATCAGCCGCTAGTCTGGCTGAGAAGTGGTTCACGTTGGCTGCCATATGCCGCTCCTAGGATTCTGAAGAGTCTGTGCTTTCAGACTCTGTGCTCTTGTTCCCTGCCATCTCTGAGCTAATCAGGACCTGGCATCAGGCAAAGGAAGGGAAAGAAATGGGGCACTTATTGAGCACCTGCAGTGTACAGTACCCTGTCTTTAACAGTGATGGCAGCTGACATTTATTGAGTTTTTGTGTTGGCAAAGTGCCAGGCGGAGGGCGAAGTTCTTTCCATGAATGATCTTACTGACTTCTCACAATTACTCTGCCAGGCTTTCTCAGCCTCAGCACTAGTTGACAGGTGGGCCAGAGACGTCTTTGTTGTGGGAGGCTGTCCCGAACTCTGTCGGATGTTAGGGGCATCCGTGGCTTCCTCTCACTGGGTGCCAGCTGCACCTCCCAAGGGTGACAAACAGAAATGTCTCCACACACTGCTGAGTGTGCCCTGGGAGGTCTGTTTATAGATGGGGAAACTGAGGCACAGGGAGGTTTATGTAAGCTGACAAAGTCCCAGAGCCAGTGTGAGCAGAGATAGGACCTGAATGTGGGTCTGCTTCACTCCCGGGCCTGGGCCCCCTCCCACCACGGGGGCCGCCCTCCCCAGGTGGTACAGGCCACACTCTGATGGAACGGCCTCCCTTGTGTTAACGTGCAGGGGAGGGGGTGTGGGGTGGGCAAGCTACTTCCAGAAAGTGATTTTCTCCCTCCTCCTTCCCTCACGTTTAGGATGCCAACGTCGATGTGTTTCGTGATGTCACTTTCTACATTTACTTCTCCCTCGTGCTGGTTCAGCTCGTGCTGTCCTGTTTCTCAGACCGCTCGCCCCTGTTCTCAGAAACCATCAACGACCCTGTAAGTGCGATCACGACTGTGTTCGAGAAACATTGTACAGGTGGCTAATGTTGATTGGACACGAGTTCTGAGCCAGGATCACCCACCTGGGATCTCATTCCATCTTCCCCACATGCCTGGAGATGGGTTAGATTGTCCTCCCACTTGACAGGGCAAAGCGGAGCCATGGGCTGGGGTGGGAGAGCCTGAGGCGGGAATCTGATTCCTATTGTAAATTGCTGTGGCTTGCAGGCCTGTAGGTTTCCTCATGTAGTTGGCATAGTGATTTTAGGACATGTGAGCAAATATTTAAAAATCGGGAAGTTTCACATAAATTCTATGTGTCCAAGCTTTCTACAAAAAATGAGAAGTTCAGACAGCGTCAGGGCCATTAGTGCACATGGCAGCAGTTGGCCAGAGCTGAGGGGGTTGCCTTAGTTTACCCGAGTCCCCACCACTCCCTATTGCATTGTTCACTCTTCTTTCATCTAGGTACGTGCCTGGCCACTGAGGGATTTGAGTTTGAGAACCTTGGTCTGACCTGTCAGTTTGAGGGAAATCCTATATGTGCAGAAAGAAATCTTTGGGCAGGTGGAGATGGCCACTCTTTCTGCTGGGGGAATGCAGGAACATAGTAATTTGTCATCCTTGCCTCTCTTCTTTCTCCCTCCCCACCGACACCAAACCCTCCGGAAAAGAGTGAGCCCCAAAATAAAAAGGAAAATAAGACGAGCCCCTTCTCACCCCATCTCTCCCTCCTCCTTCCCTTCCCTTTCTTCCTTCCACTGTTCCAGCCATTGCTGAGTGCCAGGCTCTGATCTGGGCACAGGGCTGTAGCAGTGAATAAAGCAGAGATCTTGTCCACGTGAGGCTTAGCTTGTCATGGATGGGGACAAACAGTAACCCAGGACCCACATGCCTGTCTGGTGGTGGTAAATGCTAAGTAGAAGAAAGCAGGGACAGGAAATGGAGATGATGGTCGGGAGCCAGGTGCAGTTTTTGGTGAGCGATCACGGAACGTCTCCCCCAGGAAATCACACTGGAGCAGAGACCTAAAGAAACAAAGGAGCCAACCTAGCAAACACTCGGAGAAAGAGCCTTCCAGGCAGAGTGGTGGCAAGTGCAAAGGCCCTGGGGCAGGAGCTGCGGTGGGATGTTGAGGGAACAGCAGGCGAGGCCAGCATGGCTGGAGCAGCAGAGGCAGGCAAGGGCTGAGGGTGGCATTTGAGAGGCAGGCCAGATGAGCTGTGTGGATTTTATTCTGAGAGGGACAGGAAACCTTTGGGGCTTTTATTTGATGCTTTGTTCGTGGCTAGTCAGCTGTTCACTGGAGAAATTGCAGCAGGAGCAGTTTTCAGCTGCTGTACTAGTGGTTCTGTTGGGTGGGACCTAAACCTCAGCAAAAGGCTGAGGCTGCCTTTGTCAGTGATGAAGGGACCTGTGGGGCAGCAGCCTGAGGAGGAGGCTGAAACCCGTGTCCTGAAGGCCCCATTCTTGGATTTCCCTGCTCAAGGAGGGACTGAGTTGGAGAAATTAACAGATTGTGTGTGTATGCAAATGTGTTTGTGTGCATGCATGTGTTCGTATATGTGTATGTATGTGTGTGTCCATGTTTACACGTGTGTGTATATTTGTGTTTTTATGTTCATGTTTTGTATGTATGTTGGAGTGTTTGCGTGTATGCATGTGTTAGTATGTTCTTGTACATGTGTGTTTGCATGTGTGCAAGGTTCACAAAGGCAGCAACCATGCCTGTAGCACCCACTGGATCCCGGCCCACGCCTGGCACAAAGGAGGGCTCAGACGTCTGTGGCGATTGTGTCTGCTGGTCCTCAGAGTTTGTATGTGTGTGTGTGTGGATGTATGGCAGTGCAGTGTCCTCATCTGGAAACATTTATTAACTGTCAGGCTGCTCTGTGGAGCTGAGAGTCGCACCAAACGAGCCACACCCCTAGGTGGCTGCAGACCTTGGGTTCCTCCGAGGGGACTGCGTCCAGGTTTTCCTGGGCGTGTGCATCGAGGTGGCTCGCAGAGCTGATGTCCTCCTCCCATTGTGTTCTGTGTTCCCAGGGGCCGGGGCCTGGGGCCTGACCTGCCACCCTGGGCCCACTTGCATGTTCAGCTCCAGCAGCTGGAGGCTGGGCTGCGGGGCGCCGGGACACCCCGACTCTTCTCCTCAGTCATTGTTTATCTGTGTTAGGAATCGGGGTTCAGAGAAGTGGGCTGTTCAACCTAACTTATCCCTACATCTGATGGCCGAGGCGGCCTATGTTGGGCAGACCCTGGGCTGTCATCCCACCTGGGTCCCTTCGTCCCTTGCACAGACATTTTTTAGGCATGTGCTATATACATGCTTAGTTCTGGGGCCACAGCAGTGTGTGAAATAGATGTGGTTCATGCCCTGCTGGTTACCTGTTATTCCATCACACCCAACCTGTCTTTAGTTTATTGTGTCTCACAGTCGTGGGTATTGGCCGGGCTTGGCTTAGTGGGTCTTACTTGGGGACTCTCCAAGTTGGATGGTTGTAGGGGCTCGAGTTTGACTTCCTCTCACTTGTCTGGTGGTGAATTCGGCTCCTGGCTGGAGCCCCGGCCGGGCATGGCTGCTCCATGTGGCCTCCCAAGCGGCCAGGGTCCTCACAGCGTGGTAGCCGTGTGTGTTCCAGGAGAGGGAGCCAGGCAGAAGCTACGCCATCTTTTATGATCCAGTCCCAGAGTCACAGTGTCACGCCTGCCCTCCTCTCTCTTTCTTTTAATTTATCTTTATCGTTGAAAATATTACAGATGTCCCTCTCTCCTTCCCCCATTGACCCCTGCTTCCCACTCCCGTCCTCTCCCCAGGCCTTCACCCCTCTGTCCAATCACAGAAGTCTGCCCGGCAGCAAGGTGTGGGGACACAGACCCACCCCAGACGGGGGAGTGGCCAGATCTCACTGTGCGACATGTGTGATGGCAGGTCCTCCCTGGCCATCTTGGGAAAGAGCATCTGCCGCCTGCCTCAGGAAGCTCCTGGCCTCTTGGGGAGACGGGAGACAAATGACCATGGAAACAGTTGAGATGAAGGCGGAGAAGCAGGTCACGTGACTTTAGATTTGGGGCTGCCGCCCCGCCTTGCAGGACCTCAGTGTCCTCATCTTGAAAAGGGGTTGAGGCTCCACCTGATACTCACCTCACCCTCCTCCCTGCCCCGGATGCGAGAAGTGGGGACACAGTTAGGTACCTTCTGTGCCTGTCTCCCCCAGAGCTGGTGCCAGCGGAGCCTGAAAGTGGGGAGAGGCCAACCCCTGCCTCTCTCCTGTGCTTCTAGCAGCAGCTCCTGTCGCCTGTCCTCAGAGAGGGCAGTCAGCCAAGCCCTGAGGTGGCCAGGGCCAGACGAGGCCTGGGTGGGAGCCGGCAGCACTTGGCTTCCCTGGTCGTCCTTGCTGAGTCACCCCGCCGGCCGGCCCCTTGCGTGACTCAGACGTCTATTCTGGCCCTGGTCTCCCGCCAGGGCTGCTCCTGTCCTCCAGGCGGCTGAGCACGGCTGACCAGGTTCCTGCCTGTCCCCGGCCTCTGTTCCCTTTATCTTGCTGGTTCCTTTTCTGAGGCTGCTGCTTAGGGTTGGGGGAGGGGGTTTCCATTTGCAGTTGGGGACTTCGTGGTCAGACGTGGTCATGTGGCAGGCCCTCACTTCTCAGCGTGGCATCCTCGGGCCAGCGGCGTTGGCATCCCAGGGGCTCATTGGCAACGCAGCGTCTCAGGCCTCCGGAGCCCGGCCGACTCAGCCTCATTTAGCAGGATCCCGGGGGCATGGTTGAGTGCACGGGTGCACCTCAGCTAAGAGCCTCTCAGCTCATTTTACTATGAACATGTCACACGTACAGTGGAGTTGAAAGACTCGCTCAGGGAGAACTCATCTGACCACCAACTAGAATCCACAGTTCACATTTTGCTAAACTTGTTTCATCACAGAGCTATCCAGCCAGCCAGTCAACCCATTATTTTTTGTTTTTTTGATATCTGAAACTTCCTTTGAAATACATTAGTATTCTTCACCCAGACACTTCACCGTGCAAGTCACTAGCTAGCGCTCACTATCTGTGTATAGCTTTTCCCCCTGAAAGTAAAATTTACATACAGTGACATTGCTGAGTCTTATTACCAGTCAGTGAGTTCTTGATAAATGAATAACTGAAGCCTCTCTTAAGGTATAGAGCATGACCTGGACTCCAGCAAGTTCCCTCCTGCCCCTCCATGGTTTGTCTCTACCACTCACATCCCAGAGGCAGCTGCTGAGTTCAGACTGTTTATAAGCGCATCGTAAACACCATTTTAAATTCCTTTCTCCGTTACACTTCTGGTCAGTTAGTAATTCAGCATTGTGCCAGGGGCTGAGCTGGCTCTGAGGCCCCAGAGATGAGCAAACGTTGAGGAGAGGTGGAGGCGGGCCGCCGGCTAATAAGCCAGCAGCTGCAGGATGGACGGGGGCTCCGAGGCCAGCCAGCATCCAGGGGAGCGGACGCCTGAGTCAGAGAAAGGAGAGGCCTTGCCAGGCTAGCGACGTTGAAGGCTGGAGGGTGCACAGGAAAGCGCTTCCGGTAGAGGAGCCAGCATGTGCAAAGGACCAGCAACGTGCTGGAGCGTGGGAGCGAGCGGGAACTGCATGAGTTCTGCTTGGTCGGGTAGGACGGGCCAGGAAGCCGAGCATTAAAGATCGGGGTGGAATAGTGTGTCACCATAAGGCCTTGGAATCCTGACCTGCTGGGAGATTTTTCAGTTGGGGAATGACACACTGGGTGGGGGCATTCAGAGGATCCCTCCCTCTGAAGACTTAGGAAGCCACTGTCGGAACACAGGCAGGTAGGGCGGAGGGTTGACTGGACGGTGACCCTGCGTGCCCTAGAGCATCAAATCCAGGAAGAGACTGCTGAGGTCATGGGGAGAGGGTGGTGGGTGTTACGGAAGAAGAAACTGTTCCTGAGCAGGGAGGTGATTAGCACAGCTCTAAGCAAGAAAGGTAACAAAAATCAGCAGTGTTACAA